ATTTCACTAGATGGCATGTTTATCTGCGATAATTCTGCAGATATACTAGCATGTGTGTCTAGATGAGTTCTTAATTCTTACACCTGGGGAGAGTTCTTATTTGAACTCTGTCCTACATATATATTAGTATAGTAACAGTTCAAATTGACATGGTAACTTTACTCATTATTGATGTAGGTGAATTTCCAACAAATATCTGCCTATCTAGGGCAACAGGAGCTCGAAGGTAAAAGAGTCCCTCGAATGGTTTCTGGGAAGACTTTACCAAGCTTTCCTCCATGGGATTTCTCGTCTAGAGCTGGAGGCTTTATTAGTAGTTGCTTTCTTTCTGGCCTTCGGCCTCAGGAGTATTACTTCCATTGCATGGCTGGTCGGGAAGGGTAAATCAAAGTCTTTCACATGTTTCCCACTTGCCCACTTTGTTTTCCTTTAAAGAAACCTCATAAATTCCAATGTTTTTCTAACTCCTCCCTTCACCAATTGGTTTCGGCATTATTATAGTTTTAGAGCGTAATTGTTGTCCCTGTTTATGATCTTTCCTCTTTCTCCTTGTCTTACTTGAGCTTATTATATCTCTGCAGTTTAATTGACACTGCAGTGAAAACGTCTCGCAGTGGATACCTACAACGATGCCTGATAAAAAATCTCGAGAGCCTAAAGGTTTGTTACGATTTTATAGTCCGCGACTCTGATGGTTCCATCATTCAGTTCTATTATGGAGACGATGGCGTTGATGTGCACTGGACAAGCTTTCTAAAAAACTTCAAAGCACTTCAAGATGTAATTCTTTCCCCATACACAAATATTAGATATAATGGCACAGGAAAGGAAATCTAACAAATATCTTTGCATGATATGGTTTCAGAATGAAGAAACATATACTCAGAAATTTCAAAACCAGCGGGAGTTCAATAGTTACATCACAAAATTGCCCGAGGGGCTTGAAGAGGAAGCCAGGCGCTTTATTCACGAGGCATCAGAAAAACCGAACGCTGCGGAGTACCATTTGCATAAAAAGCGTAGGGTATCAAAAAGTTCCAGAAAGGCTTTTTCTAGGGAGCAAGACAAGTTCTTGGAGCTGGTGAAGCAGAAATATTTGTCGAGCCTTGCACAGCCTGGGGAGTCTGTTGGCATCATTGCTGCTCAGTCAGTGGGAGAGCCATCTACCCAGATGACGTAAGACTAGTTCGATTTGTATTTGTTTGATGGTTAAAAAGCAGAGTAGTTCAAATATGTTTCTGATGTTTTTCAGTTGTCCAGAGGACTTCTAGAATTTGAAACGTTATTTCTCATTAAATTAGCCGTGGTAAATGTTAGAGAGAATGAACTAAAACAGATACTTAAAGTTATCGGCATGTATATGAACTGGCTGTGAGGTAATTTCCAGATTTGTAGCACCTTTTCAACTTTTACAGCTCAAAATTTAATCCTCTGGTTATATTTTGCATATTTTATATGTTATATAATAGTTAATAAACATCAATTTGTTATATTTTCTTTTTTTGTCATACACAACAATGTTAATGACTGAACCTGCAATATCACATTTGATGCTATGGTTTTACTTTCTTTCTTTCTTTTCATTTAACAGACTCAACACTTTCCATTTGGCTGGCCGTGGTGAAATGAATGTCACGTTAGGTATCCCACGTCTTCAGGAGATCTTGAGGACTGCATCACGTGTTATCAAGACTCCCATTTTGACGTGCCCATTATCAGAATTGAGGTCCAAGTAAGTTATTGAAGCCTTGTTTTGCAAAGCTAAAAAACATATTTAATTAGTAATTTGTAAGTACAAATCCATTAGGACCGAATTTGTCACCCGTGCCAACATATGACGTGTTGTTTTCAGGCATGATGTCATTTCTCTCGTTTCGAAAGTGAAGAAAGTTACGGTAGCAGATTTGGCAGAGACCATGGAAGTTGCACTGTCGATCGAGCCCTGTCAGGTGGCTAGAGTTTACAAACTGAAAATGAGGCTAAAAGACACTGAGTTAATATCCTTGGAAGACACGCACGACACTCTCAGAACTGCATTTTTACTGGAAATGGAGATTGCAATCCACAGACACATAAAATTACTCACGAGAGTCAATAGGATTGAAGTCAGAGAAGATAAAGTCTGTAGTTCAAGATCAGAAGCATCGGGTGAAGCTGGTGATGATAATGCTGATGGAAGTTATGATGATGCTGATGATGACCATGACACGGGAGATGACCTTGGTTTGGACTCCCAAAAGAGAAAGCAACAAGCAAGAGATGAATTTTTTTACGATGATGGAATGCATGACGAACATGACAGTGATAATGGTGAATGTGAAAACTCTGATGACAGAAATGAAACTCGTGATGCCCAAAGTGTGGATGAGGTTACGTCAGAAGCTGAATCCAGCCATAGAAAAGGTGAAGCAGCTACAACTTCAGGAAGTTGTTACTTGAAAGTAAGAGGCTTGTCCAATAGCATAAAACCCAAGTCTGTGTACATGTATGTTGAAGGCCTGTCGTTCGAAGTGCACTTCAGATTCACCACAGAGCCTCATCTGTTGCTTGCTCAGGTAGAAGCACTCTATATCTTCGCATTTGCTTGTTTTGGTTCTTACACTAATGTATATCATTAAAAAAATATCCTTCCATCCCACAAATAGTCTAATGACAATTTCAATACTGTTTTAGAAAACACAATTTTTGTAGTTGGGAAAATTTAAAAAATGGCTCTCTATAGGTCATGATATAAATTAAAAGTAACCTATTTAAAGTAATACTACCTTCGTTTACAAATAAGTGTCGTTTAAATTATGTATTATTAGAAATGTTAAACTATGGTAGACGAGATAGGAAAAAAAATGAAGTATGGTACAGAAAGAGATTTATAATCAGGCAAGTAATAAACAAAAATAAGACATGAATGGTTAATTGTTTTATTTTTTTTAGAATTACACTTATTTATTAATAAAGTGAGTAAACTAAAAATATCTTTTGTGGACACACCCATAGATTGCCCAAGCTGCCGCAAAGAAGGTGTGCATCAAGAAAAGGACGGCCGACCTTGGCAACTGCAAGATGGTCCAATACGACCCTGAAGAAAAAACCGTCATTTGGGATGATGAGAAGAAAAGTCCACCACATGATGTTTACTGGGCAGTGAAAGCTTCGGGAGTTGATCTCAGTTCATTGTGGACTCAAATGGACGGCTGGGATTATCTGGACCTGACCCGTCTCTACTCAAACAACATCCATGCAATGCTCGACAATTATGGGGTAGAGGCGGCACGAGCCACACTGATAAGGGAAGTCACACAGGTTTTCGAAATGTATGGAGTGAAGGTTGACTACAGGCACCTGAGCTTGATAGCTGACTACATGACCCACACAGGTGGGATTCTGGCCATGAACAGGAGCTCTATTTCCCAATCCATGTCGCCATTTCTTAAGATGACGTTCGAGACAGCATCCAAGTTTGTGGTCCAAGCTGCATCTAATGGGCTGATGGACGAGCTCGAGAGTGCTTCGTCTCGGATTTGTTTGGGATTGCCAGTGAAGATGGGTACGGGATGTTTCGACTTGATAAATGCATTGTGATGGCCTTTTTGTCGAGAGTTGGGGTAGNGGTTTGGTAAAAAAGAGTTTATGGAAAGTTAAAGTCGGGTTTATTTTGTAAACAATATGGTGAGCTGGAATTCTTTCAAGATGAATGAATAGTCGTGTTTTACTAATTTGCGGTACCATCGTCAAGTAATTCATTAATATTTTTAAATATATATAATACTTTGTGTGATAAATTTATAAATAAACATAATCAATCAAATATTTAGGCAATTTAACATTCATATACTTAAATTAATTGATAAATAATTCATACATATTCATTATATTTGGTTATTTTTTATTTATATTAAATATAATTTCAATTATACTAAATTTAAATGAATTGCTCAATTGGTCTAACCGGTTGAAACAAGTTATTTATCGGTTCGCTGGCAAATGTTCTTTTCAACAAACCAAACTAGTGAATAAACCGATTCCCGTTTGATCCGATTTCGATATGATGAGTTCTCAAAAATTTTTTGAAGTAAATTAATGTGGTTAATTGAAAGATTGGTAAAATAAAATATGAGATGTCTAAGGAGAATAAGGTTATGCTCTCTTCACAAGTATGTGTTTTTGACAAACAAGGCTTGTATTTCTATGGGGAAGAGCGCATGCAGAAGGGCATTTTAATTTATTTTATTTTTTCTATATTTAAAATGGAAATGAAAGTACTACAGTATTCTTGACTTTATGTGGATGTATTCTTGTTATAATTTTTTGAAGTGTTTCGAGTTTCCTTGACAAAATAGTGGACAAACAAATATATAT